CAGACCTGTTTGGAGACAATCTTCTGAACATGTACAAGGTAAAGTGATAGTTGTTGCATCACTTAAACCATCTTTTTACTTACCCTCTTACAAATTATGCAGAAACACGAGTTTGATGATGCTACTTCCACGCCCGATGAAATCGCTGCTACCCGTCTAGCAGGAGAATTCTCCGATATTCAATCTGTGCTTCGTGGAGCGAGGCACATGGTAAGAATGTCTATAACGACGGCTTGTCTCACCTTGTGTTACTTTCTTCAGGCAGCCGTGGAGATAAGTGCCGAGCCCGCTGCACGTGAATATATAAGGAACTTTTACATGGACAGAGCTGTTGTGACCACAAAGCCCACGGTCGAGGGAAATCGAGTTATAGATCCCTTTCATCAATATGCGGACGTTAAATGGCTTCTGAACAAACCAGTAAAAGCTTTTGAAGATGGACAGTGGTTGCTGATACAAAAGGCTGAAGAGGAAAAATTATTGGAGGTCAGCATTGGGATACCGAAGGATGCAACTGCTACACTCTTTCAAGAGTTTGAGCCGTTGTATCTGAGTGATGGGGTCAGTATAACAGCTCAGCTGTGGAATGAGCAGCGGAAACAGATTCTCAGGGATGCGGTTTCAACATTTTTACTTCCGTCTATGGAAAGGGAGACGAGGGTGGTTTTGACGGGCAGAGCTAAACAGTGGGTGGCTACGAACTGCGCGGATCAGCTTTGGAAATGGATATCTGTTGCTCCATATCCACGGCCAGGTGAACAAGATGACCGAGATGAAGAAGGTGCACGTGTGTTGGCATGCTGTTGGGGGCCGGGAAAGCCTGCAACGGCTTTTGTTATGCTCGATTCGGCTGGTGAAATAATCGACACTCTTCATGCCGGTTATTTGACTGTCCGAACTGGGAGCTATGAGCAGCAGCAAAGAAAGAAAAATGATCAGCAACGTCTATTGCAGTTCATGACGGAGCACCAGCCACATGTGGTGGTTCTTGGAGCAGCCAATATGAGTTGCCGCTTCCTGAAGGACGATATTTTTGAGGTATTGTGGTTAGATTTAGTGTGTCCGCGTCACTAACAGTGTGAACTTTGCAGCAAGTGATTTTTAAGATTGTAGAAGAGCATCCGCGTGACCTTGCGGACGGCATAGATATGATACCGCTGGTTTATGGTGACGAGACCATTCCTCGGCTTTACGAGTATTCTCGCGTGTCCGAAGAGCAGCTTCAGCAGCAGCCAGGTTTGTATAGAAAACGTTTGGTCGGATGTTGATTTCTAATTTCGTGTACCAGGAATTGTGAGGCGTGCTGTTGCTCTAGGTCGCTATCTCCAGAACCCGCTGGCAGTAGTGTCATCCTTGTGTGGCCCTTCCAGGGAGATTTTGTCTTTGAAGCTACATCCTCTTCAAAACTTTCTCACTCCTGACGAGCTGTATGAAGCAGTGGAGAGGGTGATGGTGACGGTCACAAATCAAGTCGGGGTGGACGTGAATATGGCTGCGTCACACGATTGGCTTTTCGCACCGCTGCAGTTTGTGGCTGGTCTTGGACCAAGGAAGGCCGCTTACATCAAACGCGCTATTCAGGGTGCCGGGCGGGTGAGCTCACGGAAGGAGATGCTTACCTCTCTAGAGCTGATGAAGCGGAACGTTTTCATCAATGCCGCTGGTTTCATCAGGATCCGGGGCTCTGGTCAAGTTCCTTCTGGGACCCTTGATCCTCTGGAGGACACGAGAATCCATCCTGAGTCGTACGACCTCGCCAAGAAGATGGCAGAAGATGCTTACTGCGAAGAACATGGAGAGACAGCAGACGAAGAAGCACTTGAGCTGGCTGTGGAGCATGTTCGAGACCATCCCCGGGTTTTACGGAACCTGGTTATCGAGGAGTATGCCAAAGTTGTTCAAGAGAGGGGGGTCTCTGGGAAGAAGCTGGAGACGCTGATGGATATTAAACGTGAACTCCAACATGGCTACCAGGACTGGCGTGTCAAGTACATGAGCCCCGAGCCCGACGAAGTCTTCTATATGCTGTCGCAAGAAAGCGAAGAGACTTTGTGTGAAGGGAGAATCATCCAAGCGACCGTGCGGAAAGTGCAGCAGAACAAGGTGATGGTGGTTCTGGAATCGGGGCTGATAGGATTTATCAGGAGGGAGGACTTGTCAGATGACCGGGACGTTGATCCGGCCGACAAGGTGGCCGAAGGTAGTATCCTCACCTGCAGGATCAAAGAGGTTCACAAAGCCAAGTTTCTATTGGATTTAACGAGCAAGGGAAGTGATTTAAGAGGAGATCACTGGATACCGGGGCGGCCAAGAGATCGCTACTATCAGGTGAACCCGACTTTCTTCCAGGATGAAGAAGAGAAAGCAAGGAAGAAAGTCGAGGAACAGAAGCACAAGACATTTAAGGCCCGGATGATTGTCCATCCTCAGTTTCGAAATATATCGCTGCTAGAGGCCACGCAGGTGCGCATTTCAAACAGTTTGCTAATTGGATCCAAGTCGCTAACCTTTTCTTTTTTGTGTGCTTTTGCAGTCACTGGCTGACAAAGAGATTGGCGACGGGATCATTCGCCCCAGTAGCAAAGGACCGTCTCACTTGTCAATGACGCTGAAGTTCTATCCTAATGTGTTCACTCACATAGAGATAGTTGAAGGTGGTAAGGACGTGAGCAGCATGACAAGTCTCCTCCGCCTTGGGAAAACGCTCAAGATCGGAGAAGATACGTTTGAAGACCTGGACGAGGTGCGTCGTGGTGTTTGTTTCCCTTTGTTGATACTAAAAACTAGCTCTTACTGCATGCAGGTTATTGCTCGCTATGTCGATCCTCTGGTTGGCCACTGGCGAGAAATGTTTCGCTATCGGAAGTTTAAGCAGGGGACGAAGGAGGAAGTAGACAACATCTTGCGAGCTGAGAAGGAAGCAAACCCGGCTCGCATACCATACTACTTCTCGGTGTGCTACGAGCACCCAGGAGTCTTCACTCTGTCCTACCTCAAGAGCATCAACGTCCACCACGAGTATGTCAGCGTTTCTCCCAAAGGCTTCCGGTTCAGGCACAGATACTTGGACACCCCAGACAAGCTGGTGGCATACTTCCAGAAGCACATCAATGATCCCGTGCCCGAGGCTCCTCCACGGCGTGCTGCCGCTGCTATGGTACCGTCTGGCGACCCCAGAAAAGCTGGCAGCAGAGGCTGGACAGACAACAGAGGTGGTGGCTCTTCGAGAGGGGGATGGGACAACTCTCAAGGTGGTGGTGGTGGTGGTGGTGGCTATGGAAGAAGCGGCGGTGGATGGGATCAAGATAGACGAGGCGGATGGGATCGCGATCGAGATAAAGGAGCTGCTGCCGCTGCTGCTGTTCCTGCTGGCGGAGGTAAGTTTTAAGATATAGTGTAGCTGCTCGTTTGTTCTCAGCTTTCTCGTCTTGGTTTTGCAGATCACTGGTCATCCTGGTCGAAGGGTGGTAACTGGGGAGCTCAACAACAACAGCCACAGCACCATGACAATGGATGGGGGCAACAGCAGCAACAGCAACAAACTGACGATGGATGGGGGGGGAGCTCGGGTGGGGGAGGCGGATGGTAGCTCTTCGATTTGGCTGTGTAAATAATCAACTTATAGAGATCGGTACGTGACTTGGAAAAGTGAGTACATTCCCGAGAAAAAAAAAAGAAGATCAAAGCGAACTCGCCTTTTTTTGTGATTTGATCTTCGGATATATCACAGCCATTCTCTCGGGTTCTTGCATGCGTCGAGCAAATTCCACTCTTCGCTCCCTTGAATAGGTTGCTATAAGCAAACACAAAAGTTTCATAGCATAAGTGCAAGCGACTGATTATAATAAATCTTACGTGATCGTACTCCCAGCGAGCGGACAGTGGCAGAGACATGAGAATGCTTTCGATACGGCCTCCAGTCTTGAGCCCAAAAGTAGTGCCACGATCATACACCTTCACAGAAAATGAAATGAGAAGAGAGTATTGATTCGATTGTAAAGAGAGTATTGTGTTGCTGATTCGATTTTCTCGACTCACCAGGTTGAATTCTACGTATCTTCCCCGGCGCAGCTGTTGCCAATCTTTGTTGGCTTGAGTGAAAGGCGTGTCTTTGCGCTTTTCGACAATGGGAATGTAAGCATCCACCACGGAGTTCGCACACTCTGCGAAACATGAGCTTCAGTCCTAGCGAAATGTGCTTGCTATTGAGTACCTGTTGCGAAACCAAGCAATTGCTCGGGATCCCTGTCGTTGAGATCGTCAAAGAAAATTCCACCGAGACCTCGCCTCTCTCCACGATGCTAGCAGCACACAAGTGTTTACATTTCAAAAGAGAAGAGTCCGAGCGCAAACCTCGATGAGGAAATAGTCATCGCACCATTTCTTAAACTTGGGATAGTACTCGGGATCAAACTTGTCGCACGCTCTCTTTTGAATCTGAAAACAGACAACGAGAGTTGGCAAGAGAACGAACAAGAACTAAAACTACCAACACACCTCGTGGAAATGCTTGACATCTTCGTCGAAAATGTACGACGGAGTAAAATCTGTTCCTCCTCCAAACCACCAAGAGCGAGGAGCACCTTCCACATCTGAACCAAGTGAAAAAAAAAAGGCTTGGCTCGCTAGAAACGCGATCGTGAAAAGCTTTGCATCAAACCTTTGGGAGTGTCCGTCTCGAAGTAGCGATAGTTGAAGTGAACCGTGGGAGCAAATGGGTTCTTGGGATGCATTACCTGGCATGAATCTCATAAGCATCGAAGGAAAAAAAGAATTGCGGGAGCTCGAGCACTCACCGAGCTGATTCCAGCAGCGAAGAATGGAATTCTCCCAGCCTTGTCCTTGGTGACGCTGGTATCGGCTTTGGCGGCTCGGTAAGCCTCGGGTGGCATCGTCCCATACACAACCGATACATTGACGCCAGCCTTCTCCCACACATTGCCGTCCTGCAATACCCGGCTCACGCCCCCGCCACCGCCCGGCCGAGTCCACACATCCTGGCGAAATTTCGATCCATCCACGGCCTCCACCGCGTCGCACACCTCCTCCTGCGCCGAGAGAATCATCGCTTCGAAGCGCGCGCGCATGGAATCGCTGGTGTCTTCGTCCCGTAGCAGCAATCGCGGATCGCTCTTGCTCTTGGTGCTGCTGGCCGCTGCCGCCATTGCCACTGCTGTGACCCGAGCCTTACTTGGACGACGATGATTCTTCTTGCTCCATCGTAGCTGCTGTGGAGCCGGACACGATCCCAATGCCGCCATCGCCATCACTTCCTCCTCCCTAATCCATTTGGAGCCCTATTTTTTGGCGACCAGTGGTGGCTATGGCGGCTCTGGCGAGCTTCCTTGGCTGCTCGCCGCCGATTCCTGGCGGCCGGATGGCAACGAGGCGCGCACCGCGAAGATTTTCCTGCCGAGCTGCCGGTGGTAAGAAGAATTTGCCCATATCTCGCGCAGGCAAGGAGCCGGAGGAGGAGAGCCGCGAGATTCTCAATGCCTTCTTCCTGGGCAAGGCATTCGCGGATGCCGTGAACGAGCGCGTGACCAGCGCTGTGGGCGAGCTTCTCAGCCAGCTAGGGCGCCAGCAAGCGCAGCAGCAAAAGGAGATCCGGCAATTCCAGGTAGAGGATTTCGAATTCCAAGAAGATCCTTTCGTGACCAATCGATGACGCAGGAGGAAGTGGAAGTCCGCGCGAGAGAATCTATGTCGCAATCGGCGGCGCGCTCACGAGCAATCGAGCGAGCCAGTGATGAAAGGATTGTATAAGAAAGGGGGAAAAAAAGAGACCGTTGAGCTTTTAGGGTTCTTCGTTTAGGGTTTATAGTCAGTCGATGGAATGAGCGACGATGAAGAGGAGGATGATCCAAATCCGTGACCTGCATTGTTTCACCGTCGATGTGTGCGCCGAGGACGCCGCAGTGGTGGAGCGAGTCAAGGATCGAGTGCGCGAGCGCGGGCGGCAATGGTGGGAGCTGGAAGCGAGCAAGGGCGCCGCCTGGTATCTCCATTGCCAGGCGCAGCAATCCCTTTCTTTCATCGCGGCATTCAATGCCATACAGCTGAGAATGCTCATCAGGAAAGGGATCCCCCCGCAGCTCCGCCCCAGGATTTGGCTCTTCCTCTCCGGCGCCGCCAAGAAGAGATCCACTGTTCCACACAGCTATTACAAGGATCTCGTCGATGCTGTTCGCGACAAAACGACTGCTGCCACTCGCCAGATCGATCACGTAAGATCTCTCTCGGGATTTTTCCAGTGACTTTGTTAAGCTCCTCTTTTCTTATCCAGGACTTGGATAGAACGTTTCCAACGCACCCATGGCTCAGCTCTCCGGCTGGCCAGCAGACGCTCCGGCGAGTGTTGGTGGCTTACTCCTTTCGTGATTCGCGAGTTGGATACTGTCAGGTAAATCGCTAGCTTCGGTATTTTTCTTCTGTGTTGCTCAGGCACGCGTCCATCCAGGGAATGAATTTTGTGGCAGGATTACTGCTCGTGGTCATGAAAACCGAAGAGGACGCGTTCTGGATGCTGGCTGTGCTGCTGGAGAACGTCTTGCTTTCGGACACTTACTCGGACAATCTGTATGGATGCCACATCGAGCAGCGAGTATTCAAAGAGCTCTTGAGAAAGAAATGCACGAGGTTGGGTTTTTTTCATGTTAAGGAACTGCTTAAGTTGTTCTTCTGTTTCTAGGCTGGCGCTTCATTTTGAGGCGATGGATTTTGATGTGTCGCTGCTAACAACCGAATGGTTTCTGTGCCTTTTTGCGAAAACACTACCATCGGAGGTAACACTCCGTGTTTGCTTTGGTCTGCGCTTGTGGTTACAGCTTCTCTTTCAGACAACAATGAGAATTTGGGACGTTCTCTTCAATGAGGGAGCAAAAGTGCTATTCAGATTTGCTTTGGGCATCTTAAAGGTCTGAAATTTGATTTTGCTTTTGTTTTTTGTTTGTCACGAGCATTAATGTGTATCATGAATTCTTACAGATGAAGGAGGAAGAACTTCTGCCCATGAAACATGCGGATGAATTGGTCAAGGTTGTGCAAGACTTTGCAAGACGGACGTTTGATCCGGATGTGCTGTTTAAGGTTGATCTCTTACAGTGTGACTGCCTTGAGCAAACATGCGTGACACGTTGTTTCAGGTTGCTTTTGACAAGGTGGGATCTATGACAATGCAAACCATTGACAAGCATCGAAGGAAACAACAGCCGGCTGTGATGGCAGAGCTCGCAGGAAGATCCCAGCGAATTATGTAAGTTTCTTTTCTTTCTTCTCTATATTCTAAACAAACACGAACTGTTATTTCCGGACTGACAGGAGTTCCTCTTGGAAGTGAGTCGCTGTGTGTTTACCAAGGCGAGAGCTGGCATTCCTTTGGGGGGACTGGATAGCGTTTGGCATCAGTGCAGTAGTCGTAGATGAGAAAGTTCTTCTGCACCCACAGATAGGAACTCCGCTGCGAAGGGCTCAGTGTCCAGGATCCAGGCTGATCCCACCACTTCTCCCAAGTGGTGGTAATGCACAGAGGGAAGGGATCACTCCACGGACACGAATCCAAGTTGTAGCTGCCAATCTCGGCCAGGAAGGGTGCAGAGTTCCAGTCGATCTTGTCCAGGCCTCCTCGGGTCGCCCAGTTGTCCCCATTCCAAATGCTTCCAAAGACATACATTGGCTGCGAAGGATAGATGGTCGTCGGAGTGTTCCGTAGAACTCGAACAGGAATGGAGTCGACAAAGAAGCTGATAGATGGATGAAACAAGGAAAGAGAATGGATCAAAGTTTTTCATGGGCTTGGTGGTTGTGAGGCCAGAATTACTTACACGATCTGGTGCCGGTTCCAGAGGAAGGCATAGGTGTGGAAGTCTTTGGCAGGATCAAACCAGAGGGAGTAGCGCGTCTCTCGTGATCCGACACCGTTGACGAAGATGTTGGTGTGGAGGATGTATGGCTGGCCGGACTTGTTTCCCAGGAACTCAAAGTCCAATTCGTCGTGGTTGGAAGATGTCGACGAGAGATACAAGGTGGTGACCACTCCGGCTGAATTGTTGGGGACGAGCTTCATGCGTACACTCAGGTAGCCAAACTTGTACCTTTCATACGATTGGAAAGCCGATCCTAGCAGACACGCACAGATAAAATTGATGGATTTGATCGTGAGTTTGCTTACCAGATGATTTGTCGAGGACCATTTGCATCGACTGGCCGTTGTTGGTCTCTCGGACGTGGTCCTTTCCCCAGATCACCTTGAAGTGCTGGTTCCATCGAGGATTAGCAGCAGTGACGAGCTGGATCACACACAGGAGCGCTGTCACCAGGCTCACGAAGGATCTCGTTGTCATAGTGATGGAGACGAAGAACAAGCAGTAGTGATTTTGTGATGGCTGGTAGAGGAAAGATTGTAGTTTAGGACAAGCATTATATATGGAGGGTCGTGGGTCATGATCATCACGTTAAAACCACCCTGGCCACGACTTTTATTGACCATAGTTATACCTTTTAGTGATAGAAGGTATGAAGCGCTCAAATAAGACGATGGAGTCTATTGCAGCTTTCTAGACCTGGCCACACTGTCTAGTTGCTTGGTCGTTTGCAAGTCTAGTACCGTTTGAGACTGATTCCTTCCTCATGTTCCAATTTGATGACTCATTGGAGTGTAGCCATGTTGTAATAGGATTTAGAACACCAACCAGTAATAGACAGGGTCACTTGGAACATTACAAAGAATATTATAAAGAGTTGGCTTTGAGCTGCTAAGTAACACTCTGCAGTGGGAGCCTATCACATACAATGAGGAGAGTTGTCAGCTTTGACTGCATAGTCAACATGAGTTGATTGAGTATAATGTTTATTAAAGGAATTTGAAAGTTGAGTTATGCAAGGTTTTTTTAATAGATAAAAGTGTTGCAAAAGAAGCTATTATAATCTCTTGAATTTAGACTTCCTATGAATTCACCCAATCTAATATTATTCAAACCAAAGACATTTAAACCTAAGTATCCAAAGATGTTTAACCGATTGGAAAAAGAAGTGCATTTCTATTTATGGATTTTTTCCTTCTATATTTAAATCTTTATAAATTATCCCTTGAGTTCTCTTTGGTTGCTTATAAACCACAATGCTTTTCTACAAATTCATGCCCTTATGAATGAAAGTTAAGAGTCACAATTCTCCCACTCTCTTCACACCCTACTATAAGACACAAATCATTAATCCCAAAAATAGAGCAGAAAGAGTGTTATATAGTAGTAGTTAAAGTGGAAATTTAACAAGTGTAACATATTTTGACCAAAGCTTTGACTTGAAAAGTCAAGAGTGGGAGTGGAACTCCAAACAAAGTACTCGAGGAATTATTACAAAGCAATTGGTGAATGATTCTCTAAAAAGGGACACAAAAAGGACTAACATATGGTAAGTGTTATGATATATGGAAGTGTTAAGATTGAGTCTGAGAAAGAGTTTGAGATGGAGTCCAAGAAGGAGTCTGAGAAAGAGTCTAAGACCAAGACTAAGATCCGGACCGAGACTGAGACTGAGACTGAGATTGAGACCGAGACCAAGACTAAGACTGAGATTGAAACTGAAACCAAGTCCAAGGGTGAAAGCCTAAAACAATCGTCTCCCAAACCCTAAAGGGTTTGGTGAGTTCCAAAAAGATAGTAGGGGGAAGACTCAAATAGAACTAGTTTAGTTAGGAAAGGTTAATGTGACCAAGAAAGGTTATACCTATATGGTTGGTGATGATATAACCATTGAAGAGTCTAATGCTAAAGTGAACAGGGATGGGAAATGGGGTAATTTGGTGAAGTGTTCAAAAGCCAACTTAAACTTCCCTGAGAGATCAAATGGTCAATACTCCTAATCCAAGTGTAGGTGGTATTACCTACTTGGATACTTGGTATGCCTCATTGGAATTTTGCTCTAGCCATATGGCTAGAGCAACTAAAGGTGGAAGGTGGGGAGAGTACTTATGAGGCTTGTGTAGGGCCACGGTGTTTCAAATTGTTATCTAAAAGTCCTAAACTATGGAAAGGAAAAGGAACAATCTTCTTGTGTAGTGACTAAGGATATGATCACCTAGTGAAGAAGTCCCAGAGGTTAGTGGGATTTAGTGGTTGGGCATTTAGGCCCTAACCCAATAGTAGTGTTGGTGAGCACGATTGTGGATGGAGAGGGACTTAATGAAGATTAAAGAAGGGATATTGGGGAAGGGTGTTCTTTATGTCTTTGGTTATCCTAAGGATGCTAAAATGTGGTCTTGAGATAACCACTCATGGACAAATGGCCTAGCCTTTGAGAGATGGGACTATGGCACATGTGGTCTTGGACTACCAATGAGATAAAGGTATAAGTTAATATAATAGGTTGAGATGTCAATAGTACCTTTGGAGTGTTTGTCATGGGATCAAACACATGGAACACTTGGATTAAGTGCAAAGGTTGAATGGTATAGATGCTATTTATAGGGCTAACATATCTCTAAGTTAAGAATAAAAATTATTGAGGTTGTGAGTGAAATTCCTCCAAATGGTTAAAGATGTGGTTAAATAACTAAAGTATAATGGAAAATTTAATCACTTACAACTTGGTATCAGAGCTATTCCTTAGTTTGACCTATATTGGTGGTCAAGTATATCACTATTCGATATTGGCATTAAAAGGTCCCAGGAGTGGGTTTATCTTTAAGGAATAGCATATTAAAAGGGCATGACTGTCCACTTGGGTTCATACTTGAGTGTATAGGCAATGTGATGGATAGCAAAGGGTTAATAAAAGAATGACTTTAGGATCTTGGGAAAAGTAAAAGGTTTTCCTCAGAAAGTTGAGGATGTGATCCATATAAGTGTTTGACTTAGCAAATTGGTTAATGTAGTTGTGGTAAACAACTATAATTGGGATCACAAAAAAAAAAAAAATCTGAGACAATAAAGGAGTCACAAAATTATCTTTATATCGTTTGTGCTAATAAATTTGAGACTAAAGTTAATGATTGTGAAAAGTCAAATATGGATGAGGATATATATCCTTGAAATGGTTGTGAGACACAAAATCCCTAGGCCCCAAAGTGGAGCCAAAAGGGTGCCACGTGGTACTAGCTGAAGCGAAAGCCAAACGAGCGTAACACGTTTGGACTAAAAGCTCCGACTTGAAAAGGTCAAGAGTGGGAGTGGAACTCCCAACGAAGTGCTCGAGGAATGAGCACGAAGCGAGCAATAAGCAAGGCTCCAAAAAGGGACCCAAAATGACCAACACATGACATATGGAAGTGTTTGAGATGGACCTGAGTTGGAGTCCGAAGTGGAGTCCGAGAGGGACCCGAGTTGGAGTCCGAAGTGGAGTTCGAGAGGGACCCGAGTTGGAGTCCGAAATGGAGTTCGAGAAGGACCCCGAGATGGAGTCCGAGATGGACCCGAGATGGACACGAGATGGGACCCGAGAAGGGACCCGAGATGGACCCGAGATAGAGTCCGAGATGGAGTCCGAGATGGACCTGAGATGGACCCGAGATGGAGTCCGAGATGGAGTCCGAGATGGACTCGAGATGGAGTTCGAGATGGACCCGAGATGGAGTCCGAGATGGACCCGAGATGGAGTCCGAGATGGAGTCCGAGATGGACCTGAGATAGAGTCCGAGATGGAGTCCGAGATGGACCCGAGATGGAGTCCGAGATGGACCCGAGATGGAGTCCGAGATGGAGTCCGAGATGGACCTGAGATGGAGTCCGAGATGGAACTGAGACCGAGACCGAGACTGAGTCCGAGTCCGAAACTGGGACCGAGACCAAGTCCGAGTCCGAGTTCGAGCCCGAGTCCAAGTCCGAATACTAATATAGGCAGTTGGGTGAAAGCCCAAAGCGATCGTCCCCCAGGGGGGGGGGGGGGGGGGGGCTGCGGGGGGTTCCAAAAGTATAGTAGGGAGAGTGTGGGGCTTGGAGCCCAGTGGAGCTAGTTTGGCCAGGAAAGGCCAGTTTGGCCCAGGAAAGGCCAGTTGGGCCCAGGAAGGCCAGACCCAGTGTTGGGTGATGAGCTGACCACTGGGAAGTCCAAGATTAGAGTGAATACGGACCGACAAGCGGGGTAGCTTGGTGAAGTGTTCAAAAGCTGGCTCTAGTTCCCCCGGGAGATCGACTGGCTGATGCTCCCAGTCCAAGTGTGGGTGGCACTACCTACTTGGATACCTGTCGTGGCTCAACGGAACCTCGCTCTAAGCCCATGGCTAGAGCACCTAAAGGCGAAAGGCGGGGAAAGTACCCATGAGGCTTGCGTAAGGCCACGGTGTTCCGAAATGTTGTTCCAAAGGCCCAGACTGTGGAAAGGAAGAGGAATAGTCCTCTTGTGTAGTGATCAAGGATACAGTCGTGCGGGGAGGAAGTCCCAGAGGATTGTGGGACTTAGTAGTCGGGCCGGTGGGCCTTGATCCAGTGGCAGTGTTAGT